CCCCACGAGCTGGCCCGAGCTCCCATCGGGGAGGGTGGTCATGGGTGCCGCCGGCAGCTTCCGTCCAGGCGTACAGCACCCTTTCAGCCAGGACGCCGGGCGCGTCTTCTCAAGTTAAGCCGTCCAAGCCACAGTGTCGCAATCGCAGGAGACACCTGACAAGTCGCCCCTGAGGACACTGTCAACCCCACACCTAATAAAGTGTGTGCAGCAGTCACCAGGAGAGGCTGTGGCCAAGGGGCCACCTCCCCTGCTTGCTGTCCCCCATGTGGCTCCCCGGTGCCTTGAGAATGCCCAGAGCCTCCTCGGACGTCTCCCTCCACCACCTCCCTCCCAAGGGTGCCGCCCACGACCGGCCCGACTCCTCCTCTCTGCCGTTAAGTTAAAGACGGCGCTTCGCCACCAGCTGAGGAGCGTGCCTGGCGCCCACAGAGCAAAGCAGCTGGCAGCTGTCCGCGGGGTCGGCTGGGAGGCCGCGGGCTGCGGGAGGCCGCGGGCTGCGGGAGCCCGGGAAGTGGGCGGGGCCGGGCCAGCGGCCAGCGATGAGCAGCCGCGTCCCGCTGGCAGAGAAAGCCCTGTCTGAAGGCTTCGCCCGGCTCCGGTACCGCGACACCTCCCTGCTCATCTGGCAGCAGCAGCAGCAGAAGCTAGAGTCCGTGCCGCCCGGGACGTACCTGAGCAGGAGCCGAAGCATGTGGTACGCGCAGTACGGGAATGAGGCCATCTTAGTCCGCGACAGAAACAAGCTCGAGGTCTCCCGGGACACCGGCCGGTCGAAGTTTTGCACAATTATGTGAAACCCGGGGCCCAGTGGGAATCCGCCTTTAGCACAGTGTCGGCCCAACTGGGAGGCCGGGTCCCTGGCCTCCCTTCTGGTTGTCCAGGTGCTGTAGGCCCGGCGTAGGCCTGGCCTAGGCCGGGGCAATGCTACATCTGCTTTTCTGCTTGGCTTCCTGTAAGTCGCCCAAGAGGAGCACCTGGCTACAACATTTTCAAGTTCTGTAGGTCGCTAAGAACGGGTCAGATCTTGAAACAGGTGAAGGAACGGGCATCACGTGCGGTTCAAAATCCATTCACGAGACCAGGATGGATGGAACTTAAACAGTCATCAGTGGCACTTCGGCGGCAACTGTGACGTGCCTGCGTTGTGAGTCGTTTCCAAAATGGCGTTGTGTGCCACACACAGTGGCAGCTCCCACACCCGCTCCCAATACTTGACTGCGGGCAAGTGCATCCCAAATACCAGCCGCTTACAGGGATTTCAAGCTTGATCGCCGGGCTGAAAAGGTGGGTTCTTAGAGTATTTCGGCCTTTCTGCTCCGAGACCGCAGCTCCCCACCGCTGCGGTGTCAGATGTGTCGTCAGCCGTTACCGCACACAGGCGGCCACGGCCCAACGTGTGGGCAAGTTCTTACGCGTCATTTTGCAAAAGGATTTGCCGTCTGCTGTAACTGAAGTGTGCATGGCTATGCAAATGTGGAAGTATCCGTCAAAGCTGATTTTTCTAAATAAATATTTTTCCTTCCTCCTCTTTTTATCTGTTCATTCGTGTCTTGGCTTTGTTTTTAGTAATGTCTAATGATTGGTAAAAACCCCAACACAAAAGCGCACAAGGCCAAGCGAAGTCGCCCTCCCCAGAGGCTCGTGCGGACGCCTGCAGCAGCCCCCTCTGCTGGGCTTTGTCTCGCTCAGCTGTCCAGGCCGAGGGGTTGCACTGCATTCTCGCCAGCAGCCTTCCTGGGAGCCCAGTGGGCCAAATGCATCCTCGCCGTCACCACGCACACAGCACGCCCTGCGCCTCACTGTATGTGGTCCCTTTGGCAGCCACGTGACTCGGTTAGCGAGCAGCGTTCTGTAAATGGCACTGCAGGGTCTGGCCGGAGGCCCGGTCCTTGCCCAGGGGTCCTCGGCCGGTGTGCTGCCTCAGGTCACGGCCCTTCTTGAAGTCAGAGTGCCTCGATCACTTCCCAGAGGTGAGGGCAGAAGCCTGTCCCATCAACAATGAGACCTCTGCACTATGGGCTCACCTGCCCGGAAGCCCCGGCTTGGGAATTACCCAGCAGGTAGGTTCGTCAACATCTTTGCAGACCTTCCTGCTGGGGCACAAAGCACATTTCTGACGTCCCTGGAGCACCTGTGCTGCCCGTGCACTGGGAAGACTGGCCTGTGTCGTTGGCTTGGCCCCAAGCACAGACGGCACCTGGGAGGAAAAGCCGGCCATGGCCGGTGTCTGCACAGGTCAGGGCATGCAGGTGAGCGGCATGTCCTGGGACACTTGTAGGACAGCCGGCACTAAGCTGCTTAGTGTGCGGAAGACACGAACTGCCCGAGGGATGCCTGGACATGGCCCAGTCCCCGTCCTCAGGGAGGGGGGTCTGGACGTGGGTGACATGTGCCAAGGGAACACGGGAGGAGGGGCGTGTGCACTGGCAGTCGGGGGTGAGATGTCACCAGGCCTGGGCTGGGGCCGACGGGAACCTCTTCCGGGGGCATCAAGGCCGGGCTCGAACGGCTGTGACCGGTTTGCAAACGGTGTCCGCAGCCTGGTTCACGGCGCCGTTTCCTGCCTCCTCCACCGCAGCCTCTGCTACGCGCAGGGCCCCGGCCCTCGGGCCCCGCGCTGACGCGGTGTCACGGAAAGGTCCGCTGGGCCGGCTGGACGAGCGCCTGGCGCCTCGAGTCCCGGAAACCCCGCATGCAGACTGAGGGGCAGGAAGGCGCGCGCCTCCTGAACCAACGACCTGGGGATAAAGGGGTTTTCGCTCTCTCGGGCAGGAAACGACGCTCCCTAAATGCTGGTGGCTGCCAGCCCAGGCCGAGGACCAGGCTGCTCGAGCTGTGGGTGTCCCGCGGAGCGCCACGGAGGGCGTGGAGGGCAGAGGGCGAGGGGCGGGCAGCCAGTGGCTTCCGAGCATCTCTACACCCCGCCAGAGGCGAGGACAGCACAGGAAGAGGCACACGCAGGCACCTGCGGCTTTTTTTTTTTTTTTTTTGCTTTTATTATGAAAACAAAACAAATGCCCCAGGAGAAGGGTCCGTGATTACCAGAAACATCAGAGTACTTTCTACCATTTTATTCTGTTGTGGTGAGGCCAGCATTGCAATAAACAAGCTAAAACTACTTACATTGGACTCATTTTCAGTAACTGACATTTACAGGAATATACTAGAAACGGCACTAAAAAGTTTTAAGAAAAGTTACGGTAAACTTGCATGCACGTCATACAGAAAAGTAACATTTTAGATATAAAAAAGGAAAACGTCCTGAAGTGTCACGCCAGAGTCACCGAGCGGGGCCGCACTGGATGGGACTCATCCTTTGTCGAGGGTGGATTTTCCCCGGACGACTGTCAAAGACGTGAATGTCGCAGAACAACGAAAAACAAACAAACGAAAAAGGCAAACGTATCTTACAGTTTGTAAGCGCGACGACGCTGCCCAGCACGAGCGCGCGGCGCCCCGGACTCGGCCCGCCCCCTCGGCCCGCACGGCCTCCGGCAGCGCCGTCAAAGCCACTTCCCACGCGCGGCCAACCTGCTCGGCACCCTGTCCCTTTCCCCTGGGGAAAAGCTGCTCTACGGCTCCCGGCACCACGGCCACGCTGCCTGTCCAGCTGCAGTGTCCCCAGCGCAGACAGGAACGACCAACACCCAGGGTGCGCTCGCAGGGCAGGAGGCACCCCCAAACTGGAGGGAAGTCAGTTTTGAGGTCTGCACAGAAAGCCTTAGGAGCTCAGCACCAGCGAAGCGCCGGCTCCGTGGGGACAGCAGCCCCAGGAGGAAGGTGGGCGGGGCTTCGAGAACCCACCGTCCGGCACAGAACCGGCGGCAGGGGATGCTCCGAGAGGCTCGCGCTGTGCTACACCCCAGGGCCAGATGTTTCCCGCTCATCGGCTCCCACGAGGCCCTGCGCGCTCTCCACAGCTGGAGGGGAGCTCCACGGGAGCCCCCACACACCTCAGGGTGCCCCGCGCTGGGGGCTGCGACGCCTGCCCACCTGCCGTGTGCTGATTCCTTAAAGTCAGAGTTCAAACATTCCATTAAAGACCAAGTTAGAAAACGCCTTTGAAAAACAAGGGTAACTTTAAAAAATGGCAAGTTTAAAATCCATTTATATTTTTATTATAAACGAAACTTAATTAAAAGTTTAACAAACTGGCTCAAAACTCGCCGTGTCAGAATCACCGGCAGTAAGAAAAACGGCACTCCACCATCCACTCCTCCTGAGCCCCGCATCCATCAGAGGTCCCCACAGCCGTAAGGGTTGGCGCAATCTGAACCGGCTTCGTGATTTTGAAAAAATGGCCACCTCTTAGGACACTGCTGACTAGTCCCCGGACCATCCAGGAGTGCTGGCAGAAGGAACGCGCCACCAAGGGCCAGGCTGCTCACAGCTCCGCCTCCAGCTCCTGCCTCTGGGGACTTTGAGTCCTCTCTGCTGAGAGGAAAACGCGGGAGCAGGGAGCCCCGTGAGGCCTTGCGGGGGGCGTGCACCTCCTGGGCCAGAGACTCTTCCACCCCCGGCGGGAGGAGCCAGGCCACTGCCACGGCTGGAAGAGTGTGTGGCAGCGGGGGCCGCCCCGGAGGCCTAACCCCCATTCCTGGCCGAAGCCACAATGCTCTGAACCTAGGCAGGCACCATGGGGCGTCCCTGACTCAAAAGGCCACACGGCAGCCTATGGGAAAAAAACAAAACCAAAACATAACTTTCTGTTAAACTCTGTATATTATTATTTTTTTACAATAGAAAGTTAAAAATCAAGACTTAGATTTACTATACATTTTTTTTTCCTCTCAGATTACAAAGTTTATATTATATAACTGGGGTTCCCTAAGTTGATTTCTTTTAAAACAGTCCTAAAGAGACAAGAGAATAAAAAAAAAGAAAAAAACTAAACAAAATAAAAAATTAGAATGTGCTGCAGCTGGAAGTTGTCTATACCTGTAAGTCTCCAAACTTCACACACACACTTACACACAAGAACAGAAGCACAAGCCCCCACGCCCAGGAGCGGGGCGCACGCCAGCGCTGGGGCGGGGCTAGCACCTGGCGGGGCGGGTCCAGCACCTGGTGGGGCGGAGCCACCCCCGGCCGGGGTGGGCCCAACCCCAGGACCGGCTGCCGCCCGAGTGCCAGCACCTGGTGGGGCGGAGCCACCCCCGGGCGGGGTGGGCCCAGCCCCAGGACCGGCTGCCGCCCGAGCATCATCGGAAAGGCCTGCGTCTCTGCTGCTGCTTTTAATGCATTTCTTTTGCAGTTTTGTTTTTCTTTTCTTTTTTTAAAAAAACGACCAATGGTGTTAATAAATAAAGTACTCGTATATACATGAGATCGGGGAGATGGGCCGGGGGTGCGGCAGCGCTACTGAGTGGGGGACACGCTGGGCTGGACTTCCGTAGAAAATTGCTGAACCTTACAAAAAAAAGTCTCCTTTTTTTTTTTCTTTTCTTCTTTTTTTTCTTAAGTTGAGGTAAAAGTTTCAGTGTATGGAAACCCACACGCTGCGCACGCGGCCGCTGTGTCCCTCCGGGGCTCCTGGCGTCGTGGGGGGGCGGGCCGGACACCCCACGCGCCCGCTCCACGCACGCCGCCCCGCCCGGCCCCCACCCCCAAAGGCTCGGGTGACCCGGCCACTCGGCCCAGCGTCCGTCCTCAGCCCCTGCACGGAGCTGGCCCCTCGGACTGAACCGGCTTAGAGCGACCGCCTCGGAACAAGTCCCTTGCGGAGCCGCAGCCCAGGCCCGGCACAGAGGGCGGCGCCGGAGGGTCAGGTCACTTCGCCGTGCTTCCTCCGTCACCTCCTCGCGACCGGACTCAGTTACGAAGAGGAGACTGTGCAGCCTCCCACCTCCTCACAGTCTCGTGTGCACACAACAGACCTGCGACCTAGTGAAGCAGAAAACGGGAAGGGACCGTGACACTGGATGGGGGGCGCCGTGGGGCACAAGCGGTATGCTGACGGCGGGAGGGAGTCTGTGGCAGGCGGCGGCTCCGGCTCCCGGCAAGTCCAGGTCTGTCCCTATTCCGAGTCACTGCTGTCAGAGCTGGATCCGCTGGAGCTGCTGCTGCCGGACTCAGAGGAGCTGCTGCTGCTGAGCCTGGAGGGCCCTCCCGAGGGCGCGGGGCCCGATCTCTCTGAGGGAGGGACACAGGGCGGGTGAGGGGGGCCGCCCTCCGGGCAAGGCCTCCATCCTCGCCCGAGTCCCGGACCCTCGCCGCCGCCCAGCACCCACGACGTGCCGAGGCCCATCCACTTCTCCACGGTCACTGAACGAGCTGTTAACTAGCAGGTGTGTGCCGAAGCGAATGGACGGGCTGGGGAGGGTCTGCGGCTGTGAGACCTGGGCTCCGTCCCAGGTCCAGGCACAGAGACCCCAAAAGCCTCGTTTCCTGGGCAGTGAGAATGCCTTGCTGTTTAGGAGGAGCCGCGGTTTATTCTAAGGGCGGAGGGGGCTGGTCACCAGGGAGAGCCAGCTGGGGATTCTCAGCCCCCGGCCCATCTCAGAGTCGGGGAGTGCGCTGCACACGGAGCGCTACAACAGCCTCGGTTCCTGAGCCTCTGGGCTGGGGCGCGCGTGGCGGGGGGCACCGGAGAGGCACCCACCCCCAGCTGGCCCTGGGCACCCCTTCTTTCCGCTTCCTGCGACTGAGTTGTCGCCTTTGTAATAGAGCGAAAAGGAAAGAACATGCTTCCCAGAGCTCTGCAGTCTTCCCAGCAAATCGCCTGAACAGGGGATTGTGGGAACCCCTGACCTACACCTGGTCAGTCGGAGGTACGGGAGGCCCGAAATTGGGAGTCTGAGGTGAGGGCAGTCTTGTGGGGCTGAGACCTTAATCTGCAGGGTCTGCGCTAACTCTGGGTGGGTGGTGTCAGCACGGAACTGCACTGCCGGACACCTGGCTGGTGCTGGGGACTGGGGGACTGGTGTGAGAAAAATCCCACATGTTTGGTGGCAGAAGTGTGAGGAAAACTGCTCAGAGGTCAACGAGGCCACCTAAATATCCTCGAGACGGGGAAGAAACGAATGCGAGCCACCGAGAAGACCTGATGGGGTGTGGGTGGGGCTGACCATTCAACGACACCCATCGGTCTCAGGGTGCCAGGCAGTAACAACAAGCCGTCGACTGTGCCCTGCCGGGGGACCCCCAGCCTTCGGTGAGAGCGGGCCGGGCTCTCAGCCCTGTCTGGGCACTGAGCAAGCAAGGTCAGGCAAGGACGTAGCATTTGGCTGCCGCGTGCTCATCTGGATGGGACCCTGACTCTGACCGCCTGGGCCTGCTCACTGTACCTGTCCATTCTTACAGGTTCCAGAGGAGGATGGAGAACTCAAACCACCTGCTCATCAAAATTAAGACCCTCCAGTCCACAAATCACAGGACCTGGGCGTGGGGAGTCAGGGCCTCTGTCCCCATGATTATCGGCTAATGTGCTGGCCCTGGTGTGCCTGGGGGCTCCAGAAAGCTCGCTGCCAGGGGCTGGCAGTCAGACTGGTGTCCCCCAAGCCACACGGTCCTGTCCCCAAACACCAGAGCTGAACCCTTCACAAAGAGCCCTTTCCAGGAGCTCTAGAAAGTGGCACCTTCGAACGTGCCTCTGAGTAGGGCCAGGGTTCTGTCCCCAGACTACAGGTAGAGACGGGGTCCCAGGAGGTCAAGAGCTTCATCTAAGGGAACGTGGCTAAGTGTTAGGCCGTGGAGCCACAAGCTCAAGGCTGGGTCTGCCACCCACTGCCCACCTGGACCCTCCCGCCTCCGGACCGAACAACAATGTGGGCCACCGGGGACCCCGCACCCCGGAGCGGCACGGCCCGCGGACGGCTACCTTTCTTGGCTGGCTTCTTGTTGCTACTCAGCTGCCCACTCACGTCCTGCAGACGTTTCTCCAGCTCCTTCTTCTTTTCCTGAGCTAACTCCTCCTTGGACTTGGCCGCCTGCTTCTTCCCGCTGGCTGCTGTGGGAGAACCGGGAGCTGAGACGGCGGTGCGGCGGGGCGCGAAGCGGGGACAGGTGGCCGGCCACTGCGCCTCGCGCCCCTCGGCCACCTGGCCTCCTGGGTGTTCACGACCCCCGACTGGCCCCCCAGGGCTGACACTGAGCTCCCTGAGGGAAAACTGATATCACAAAACCGCTGCCTGCATGTCCTGAGCTCGTGCCCCAACCCTCACAAAACGCGAGGCGGGCAGACCATTCCAGCTCCAGACGGGACGTGTGTGGCCCGGAGACACCCTCGTGAAAGGCAGAGCCACGACCTGAAGCCCTGACCCCCTCCCCGAAGTTCTCCCTCCCCGTGGTCACGGCCATCTCGCGGCCTCAGCAGGAGGCCAAGTGCACCACCCGGCTCACCTGCGCCTGCCACCCAACAAGACACTCCACGGAGACGGTGGCTGCCCCCTCCGAGCACGTGAGGACCACGCGAAGCCCGCGGGGCCCCACATGGGCTCAGGCGCCCTGGGTGGTCCTCGGCCACTGTCTGTTCTGCCACCACAGAGCTGCCTCGGGCCTGCCCTTCCTCTCACTTCCTAGGACCCTGGTTCCTGTTCGGTGACGTCATCGACGCCCAGGGTGAGCCCGGGCCAGTGCCGGCATCTGTCCTGGGAGGCCACTAGACCCTCGACCCGTCAACAGGGAACTGGTCTACCCTGGCAGGGGACCGCCAGCTCCAAACGCAGGCTCAGAAGAGCTCGTGGCGAGGCCCTGAACTGGCACTTGAGTAGTGGGACGACCCAGGGGTCCCGCCTGCCCACCGGGCTGCAGTGGGGCTGCCTGGCTCCCCGCCCTGGGGCTGAGCGAGGGTGGTGGGGGAGGGCTGCGAGGGCCCCGAACACCGACGACTCACAGAGCGGCTTCCGCTGCTTCTTCTGCAAGCAGGACTTCACGTATCTCTCCAGTTCCCGCAGAGTGGTGGGCTTCAGGGTCTCGAAGTCGATCTCGATCTCGTCGGGGTTGGAGTCCCTGAGCGAGGGCTCCCGGGACTGGATGATGTGCACCACGCGGCCCAGCTTCTCGCCCGGCAGCCGGTTGATGTCCAGGCTGAGCTGCCGCTTCTCGTCGTAGCTCATGGGCAGGCCCTCCTCCTCCTCCTCCGAGTCGTAGGAGGCCGACGCCTGCCGGCCGCCCTTCTTCGGCTGCCTGAGGCGCGAGGCAGAGAGCGCCCTGGTGAGGAGCCTGTCCCCTGTCCCCCGTCCCCAGGAAGCCCTGTCCCCCATTCCTGTCCCCTTGTCTTCCTACTCCCATGGAA